ACGTACTGTTGAAACCTCTCTCCCGGTTCTTCTAGTTAAAAAAAAAATGAAAAAAAAACTTTACTCATCCTTTTTTGAGTGAAATCTTCGTCTTCTGTCAGAGAGCTGTTGTCTGCCATCATTTTCTTTAATGTACCGTTGAAACCTCTCTCCCGGTTCTTCGCTAACTGCTTTAAGATTTTCAGGAAGATTGTTCAAGTGTGAAAGCAAGAAATACACTTTCGAATTCATATTACAACCTAGACGATGAAAGTATTGTAACATATTTACAATAATGCTGCCGTAGTTCTCGTCCTTAGAGTTCCGAAGAAACTTATCTATTACTTCTTTAAATGAGACCCAGACTTTTTTATCGACATCGTTCTTTGTGTTTTGGTTAGATAATAATGATGTTCTTATCTGCGGCCCAACAAAAATACCTTCTTTTATCTTGGCATCAGATATGGCCGGAAATTTCTCTCACAAATATTTGAAACACTGTCCATTTTTGTATAGGGTTTTAACAAACTGCTTCATCAAAAAAAAAACTTTTTTGGGGTCAGCTAACACGTTTTTGCTATGAGGTGTAAGGCTGTTCTAGAGGGCCATTCTATTTGAGTTCAATGTCTATCTCAATGTCCTATTTCCATATTAATACATTCTTAAATACTAGGAATACAATGCAACCAAACTGCACATAAGCAGGTCGCAACGCTGTATTGACGCTTCTACGCCAACTCTCTGCTTATTCTAATAGTTAAAGGCTAGAGTCTTTCCAGTAGAACTAAAGACGAATAAAGTAAGTGTTTTCTCCGTTTTGCGGAAATAACATAATATGGGCTTTAACGGAAAATTGTATAGTAATCTATCAGTACGTTAAACTAGGTGTGTTTTGTAACGAGACATTTCGATTTAGTCCTTAGTCCTAGCAAATTGTTAGCCTTAAAGCTGCATACAGGGTGTTTTCTAATCGAAGGTCAATAATTATGGAGACGATTTTTGGGTTCATTTTAATAAGAAAACTTCTATGAACATATATCATAAACTTTTGGGATACATATTGATAAAATTTAAAGTAATAATATATATTTTGTTTAATGAAATTTTGCACACGTACATTATTTAGGGTACCACAATTTTTTAAAAATACACCAGTGGCGGGCGTACGGAATTTCACGTGGTGCGCCGCTGATTTCGCTTAAAATAAAAACCATTCTTACAATTTGCAATGATTTCTAAAAAAAATTCATTTCTAGATTCTTTCAATTGATCTACGGTTTTAGGTTAAACTAACAACCTCTTCTCTGCATGGTCATAACAATATTGTTAATATTGCAGCATGCAGAGAATTACTATCGTTATTATTTCTTATTTAAGTAATTCTCTAAATGTTTTATCAAAATGCTTTAAACAATCGATGTCGGAATACGAAATAACTAAACTTAAATAAATTAAATAAATTTCAATAAGAATCGTTTATTATTTATCTTGTTGTTAGGATGTTATGTTATTTCATTAAAACTGTAAAAGCAAAAATAACCTTCTTCTATTTTTTTTTTCTGAAGGACAGCAGTTGGTAACTAAAAACTAGTTAGTTTTAATTTTGTTTACTTTAATTATATTTTATTTTTCACAAAATAAAATTTTCTATTTAACCAGTGCAGTGACGACCTAATTAACCAAATACTATTAAACAGTCACTGATTTCATTTGATTAATTTATGGACAGATTTGATCTCTTAATTTTTTTTAACCCGTCGTACCGTTTTGACTTCCATACCTCCGGCACTGATGTATTTGTAGTACATGTGTGCCAAATTTCATCTAAACATCTAAGGTAGTATTGCAGATATTTAAAACTTTACCACCATGTATCTCAAAAGTTAAGACGTTCAGGATATATGTTCATTTGAAATTTTCTTTTTAAAATAGACCCAAAAATCACCTCCTTAATTATTGACATTTAATTAGAACACCCTGTGTAAGACATTTACCAAATGGAATTCGAAAAAATAATAAATAAGGATATTATACATGTTTCACATGGCTGTCAATATTTAGATGTAATTTTGGATGAGCACTTAAACTGGCAGAGAGTGCATTGTAGTTTATATTTATCCCAGAGGAGAACTGATATATAATTCTCTTCATTTAGCAACCAAATATGTCAGTAGTGCAAGTGATGGCATCAGAGTTACGAATTTTTATCCACATTTTGTTAACAAATGCAAAAACTTTCCAGACCAGTAAAGGCAACTTATTGCCAGAAGCATGGTGTCGTTAGTGTTTTGCTATGCTGCCAGTAACTGCGCGCTAACCAGAATAGAATTTTATTTCTTTGGTAGCAGATATCGAAATCTGTACTTTACTGCTATCTTAAGATCCTACGATCTTAAGACCTCCGCTGACAAACAGGGGACGGTAAAGTGACTTAAAGTTACTACTGCGGTGAGTTTTCAAATAAAAATAAGTCGATTTTTGATTTTTCGACGACCAATAATTTTTGTTAGAAACATTTTTGAAGGCATATCTTCAAATGAATTCAGATAAACATACGGAATAGATCGCAGTGAATATGTTATGTTCTGTTTTTATTTGATTTATGTAAAAATAAACCAATTTCAAGAGTTTTTTTGTTAATCTCAAATCTCTGCTTTATAAAGTCTCGTTATTTGTATTTAATAATTGTATTTCATAATTTATTTAATTTAAGTAATGCAGAAAATGTCGCATTGCTCCTAGCCTTTCGAATTTATTTATGAGTTATACGCTAGTTCGTTTTTATTATCAAACGAAAGTTTTATTCAGTCATAATTGGGTATCCATTATTCGGAGAACTTTTTTATTGTCAATTCGTTTCAAAGACTCCTGTCGTTAGCGGAATATTAAAAAGTCTTCGCAAAATACAAAATAAGAGGAAATTTTCTCCTGCGAAACAAAAACCTGAAGCTGAAACAAGAATCGCTTTTGTATTTCTTTGTGCAATGTTTTTATGAAAACGATGAACTATACCCGGTGGCCCAAGATTAAACAGTGAGACATTTTAAATATACATGGTGACAAGTGCCTATCAACTGCATTGGAACCCATGTTATGAAGGGTACTTGAAGTTTCCAAGATTGTTTAATTATTTAAAGAGTCGTTAATGTTTCCTTTACAGACGATTAAAGGAAATTACAGGCTTAGTGAGGATATTAATGTAAAATTAGGAAATACTGAGGGAAAATGAAACGAAATTATTTTATATTATAACCAAATGCGAGAGATTTCGCGTTATATAAACTTATGTTATAGTATAGTACGTTTTTTTTTTATAATAATATTATATATATATATATATATATATATATATATATATATATATATATATATATATATATATATATATATATATATATATATATATATATATATATATATATATATATATATATATATATATATATATATATATATATACAATACATATATATATATATATATATATATATATATATATATATATATATATATATATATATATATATATATATATATATATATATATATATATATATATATATATATATATATATATATATATATACAGGGTTTTTCACTTAAAACTCATCTCATTAACAAAATTAGTGCAGCATGTGCCGCTATCACAAGAAGGACTCTCCTACAAGTGACCCAAGCTCATCTGTTAAAAGTTTTTGATAGTTGTGTTCGAGCAGATGGACATAATTTTGAACAAAATTTTTGAAATATCTTATTATGTAGTTAATTGCAATAATAATTTTGGTTATTAACTTGTAGTTATTTTACTGTTTTTTCATTTATTTATCATGTTATCAGAACTAAATCGATAAAAAATAATAAATAAAATCATACTAAAATAGTTGAAATCTATTGTTTGTAATTGCACTTAAAACAACTGCGATAACAATGGTTGCCATAGTAACTAACATTCATGGCATTCTTGTAAAAATAAGCGTTAATCACATTTTTTATTTATCAAGAAATGTTTACTTTAAATCGGTATAGCTTAGAAACGGGTAAAGTAAATAAGTTTGAGTAAATAACAAAAAAGTTTTTAAATAATATGTACTTTTGTATGCGCGTATTTTCAAAGTCTCTGCAATCGAATAATTTTTCGACGCGTCGCGACGCCCAGCTCTTTGCAGGCGTCGAATTTTTGAAACTTTAGGAAATATCTACTTGACCCCACACTTTGAGTACTTTTTACATAAGTTAAATATTTCTTTTCGGTTTGGACTTATTGGCGTGCGGAGTTTTAAGTGAAAAACCCTGTATATATATATATATATATATATATATATATATATATATATATATATATATATATATATATATATATATATATATATATATATATATATATATATATATATATATATATATATATATATTCTCACGTATTGATTCACGGATGGAAAAATGTGATGACACTATATTCCAGGATATCATCCGTTCGCTCGTTGAACTCCGACTGGAATCCTGCAGACGTTTCGCCAAAATCTCACTTGGCATCTTCAATGCTCGCGCTCCGAAAACACTTCGAACACTGTGTTCAATGCAGGATTCCAGTCGGAGTTCAACGAGCGAACAAATGATATCCCGGAATATATATATATATATATATATATATATATATATATATATATATATATATATATATATATATATATATATATATATATATATATATATATATATATATATATATATATATATATATATATATATATATATATATATATATATATATATATATATATATATATATATATATATATATATATATATATATATATATAATAATGGGTTATTAAAAGATGTAAATGGAATATTTAATTGAAATTTAACTAAAAATTTTGCATAAATAAAGCAAAATTAATTGATATTCTGGCTTTCGGTTTGGAAATCGAATAGCGACTACAACCTAGCTAATATTAAAAGAACTGTAACACGAAAGCAACAACTCGAGCTATAAATAATTGATTATTTTCTTCCCTCAGGAGAGCGAATGTTTGGGCTTGGAGGCCAACATCCGATGGGCAGAGGCCTTCATCCTTATGTATTCCGTAACTGATAAATGTTCCTTTGACGAATGCTATCGGCTGAAGTTCCTGATAAATTACAACAAGCGCAGGCGGCGAATCGGAAACTCCGGCAGAGATCCCTTAGGAGACGTTCCAGTCGTTCTGGTGGGAAATAAAATAGATCAGGTAAAGTGCCACGAGATTTTTACCTCGGAGAGTCAAAACGACTTAATGAAATCGCGACGAATTCTATAGCATACGGCCGGACCGACCCGATGTCTAAATGAAAAGGTACCATTAGGTGAAATCTACAAGAAATGAATATAAAAACGAAATAAACAGGGTGCGTCGAATTGTAAATATAAATAATTCATGGGGTGATTTTTGGGTCCATTCTGGAAAGAAAACTTCATGTGAACATATATCCTAAACATCTTAAATTTTGAGATACAGGGTCGTAAAGTTTTCAAAAATAAAATAAATTTTTTAATATCTGTAATAGCACTTTAAATATTTTAATGACATTTGCCACACATGTACTTATTTTAGTGTACCACATTTTTTTTTAAATACACCAGTGGCGGGCGTACGGAATTTCAATTGTCTATTTTGGCAGACATTGATGGCACGCCACTGACTTCTCTTAAAATAAAACTTATGCTTAAAATCTCTCTAAAGAAATTTAATTTCCCGACTTTTTTATGGTAGCAATATGGGCAAATCCTCTTTGGCATGGGCATTTCGCCTTTCTGGCAGGAGAAAAGGTACAATTAAGTAATTTCCAATAATAGCAGCCCAAAACATTTTCCGAAAACTGTTATTGATGTTTAAATTCTACAACTGCATGGGGCATTTCATCAACCCAAATATGGTTATTGTGGAAATTTCTGATTGCATTTCTGGAAAAGTTAGCTTCATCTGTAAATAGTAGTTCTTGGTCAAAGAAGGGATAATGCGCAAATTTGTTGATAAACCAATGACAAAAATTAACACGGGTACAATGGACAATCGGGCAAAACTTTCCGAACCAAGATATGCGAGATATTCAGATTACTTCCAATTTATCTACTAAGGATTTTCATCTATAGACTTAAAAACTGCTTTTTCAATTTCTGGAGTGCTTACAGACCGATGGTCACCTTTTAAATGAATATTTGCCCGAAAGTACCTGTTTCAGTCAACCTTCTTATCTGCATTTGAAAATGTGCACCTATCTGGTATGACTCTACTAGGATAGCGCTCTTGATATAATCGCCTAGCTTCCGGGGCACTGCCATCAACCAAATCATCCATATAATGCATATCCGCCAACTTCTCTTTAGTTGACTTGATCATTCTTTTTTAAAATAACAATGCTCGGATATTTTAAATACCAAATTAATAAGACCCGAAGAACTGAATTTAAAAACTGATGTCAAAAGCAACTGTCAAAGAACCGCCTTCACAACTGAATTAGTAATTCTTGCAGACACAGCCTACTACAAAGATAAGAGTTTACCCACTTCGTATTCGTACTTCGCTTTTTTGAAGTATTTTAATAAAACAGATAGACAATTTACACTCTGGACCACCGCGTGCTCTTTGCTAAACTGAAATGCTTTGGTGTGGGGGCTGGTGTGTTGCAGTTTTTCAAAAGTGACTTTTCTGATCGCTGTCAAAATCCAATTATGTAAGTATTCGCAAAGCTGTAGCACAGGATAGTATTTAGGTCCGATGCTGTTTTCCGTTTATATCTCCGACTTCTGTAAATTTATTAAGCATTGTTCCTCCCATCAGTACGCAGACGACACTCAAGTATATCTCTCTTTTAATTACTCTCAAATTAATACCGCCGTTAACAACATAAACAGTGACCTACGTGCTCTCAGTGATATTTCTAGTAAGCATGATCTGTTACTTAAGGAAAATAAGACGCAGCTTATAATTTTTGGTAAAGATAAAGGAAAAATAATTAGTCTAGATCCTGTCCAAATTTACTTAAATGACCTTCTCTTACGGCCGGTTGCCGAATGCAAAAATCTGGGTCTGCATTTGGATAATAATCTGCGTTTTGAAGGTCACGTTGCTTCATTGATCCAGAAATCGTTTTACAAGCTTCGGATTCTCTACTGTAATAAAGATATTCTGGACACAGCAATTAAGTTAAAACTTACCAATTTCTTAATTCTCTCCTCAATTTCATACTGTATGAGTTTACTGGCTTGTCCTACTTCAAAAGTACAAGGTTAGTCTTCAGCGTCTTCAGAATGCCTGTCTCGGATTCTCATACAATATTCGTAAATTTGATCACATGTCTACTAGCCTAAAGGATTCTCGCTGGCTAACGTTAGAAGAACGTTTTAAATCGCAGCTTTTAATCGCAGCTTTTAGCAACTTCCGACGTAACTTTTTGACAAACTTACTCGTGGATCAGATATTCACTCGGTTAATACTCGCCTTAGGGGGCTGTTTACCGTTCCCAAACGTACTTCAGCACAGTTTCAGCGCAGTTTCACATACAATGCTATCAAGGCCTACAACAAACTCCCTCTCCAAAGGAGATCAATCACCTCACTAACTTCATTCAAACAAAAACTTCAACAATAGATTTATCATAATAGAGACGATCATGAAACTAGTAACTATCAAATTGTATATATGCATTTCTTTTTTGAATTCATTGCAGTGTTAAAATTGTTAAAATTAAAAATTATTAAAAACGTTTTTTTTTTTCACAATGTAACTCTACCACTTTGAATTAATGTCTATGTAATTTATATGCTATATTTTACTTTATACATAGTGTCATATGCTCGTTTAAGGGGGTTACATAAGAGCAACTATGTTGGATGCCGCCCCCACAGTTATATATTTTTGTAAGATATTTCCTTCAAAAACGAATAAAGGCCCTTTATTATTATTAATAATTATTTAAGTAAGAAATAATAATCATAATAATTCTGTACATGCTGTCATATTAACGATATTGTTATGACTATGCAGAGAAGTTTGAATTTCTTTTAGCGAAAACCGACGTCGGTCTGAAAAAATCAAGAAATTAAACATCTTTAGAAATGATTGGAGATTGGAAGAATAATTTTTATTTTAGGAGAAATCAGTGGCGTACCATCAATATCTGCCAAAACGGATATGTGAAATTCAGTACGCCCGCCACTGTGTACTTAAAAAAAATTGTGGTACTCTAAATAATACCTTTTGAACTATGTGTTGCCAAATTTCATTGAAATATCTAAAGTGGTATTAGAGATATTAAAAAAAATTGTTTCAACTATTGGAACAGGAACACTGTCGTTTGTATCCCCTAAAAAAATAAATTAATTTCTAGTTTCTTTAGTAATGACTTTCTAGAGGAAAAATATGTCAATGTTTACTTTTATTTATTTATTTGCTTTAAAAATACTCATCTTTGCTTCTCTCCCTCACTCCAATAAGATGGAGAATTCGGAATTCAATTTATCTGTCGATACCATCCAAAGCGTTTTCGAAAAACTAAGCACCGACGTTTTAAATGAGAAAGGGTCTCTGAACACCCCTTCAGTGACGTTTAATCAGTTCCAAACTGCCTCCATATTTAACGAAGTTTAGGGCTTTAATCCTGTTGGAAATCGAGGAGGTGTTTTGATTTAATATAAAATACGACCCTGCATTAATTCTCGCAAGTCGGAAAATGGATGCTCCCGAACGTCTCTTTTTTTTTTATAAATTATTGGAGGAGGTGTGCATGGATAGTTGACCCATACAGGGTGCTGGATCGGGAACTGAAAGCGTTTTTTTTTTTAATTTTTATATGAACCTAATGTGCGACTGAACAAATTCTGTTTCAGATTGAAGACAGAATGGTCACTTTAGAAGAGGGCCAGAAACGAAGTAAAGAAATAGGCTGTGTTTGCTTCCACGAAATTTCCGTACGGGAGAGCATTGAGCAGGTAGGTTTCCTTTTTGTGAGTAAGCGATTATAATTTACTTCATTCATTTAATTCACTCATAGTTTACTTCATTTCAACTTTTAAAAATTATTAAATTTAGTTTTAATTTTAAGAGCGGAAATGAATGCGAATTAAACGGATCACTAAATTGCGATATTGGAACTTACCTACTTACTTTGTTTTCTAATTGAATGTCAATAATTAAGGGGATGATTTTTGGGTCCCTTAAAAAAGAAATTATATGAACATACGTCCTGAACGTCTAAACTATTGAGATACGAGGCGGTAAAGTTATCAAAAATAAAATTTATTTTATTAGTATCCGTAATACCTCTTTAGATCAAGAGGCATTTGGAATCATGGCCTCCTAAAGTGCACAGCAATATGAGCAAAAGAGCCGTAGCGTGTATTCATCAAGGTGGAGGGCACTTTCAACAACCTATCTAGTTTCTATATTCTACTTTTTTTCAAAAAACTTGTTAATAATTTATTCACAGACAATTTTGCTAAAAATTATTAATGGTAGGTAGTGTTTTTAAAAAAAAATAGAAATCGTTTATTATTTATCTTGTTAAGAAGTTATGTTATTTCATTATTTTTTATTTTTATTTTTCTAAACGAAAGCAGTACAACGGATTTAAAAAACCCAAGAAATTGAATTTCTTTAGAAATGGTTAGAGATACATAGTACATGGGTGCTAAATTTCTTTAAAATATCTAAAGTGGTATTGCAGATATTACAAAAATAGATTCCATTTTTGAAATTTTACTTTATTTTACCCTGTATCTCAAAAATTAAGACGTTTAGGACACAAATTTATATGAAGTTTTCTTATTAAAATGGAGCCAAAAATTGCACCCTTAATTATTGTCATTCAATTTTAAAACACCCTGTATATTGCTTGCGTCATATTAATTAAGTAATTAATATTTCCAATTATTCATCCATGATGATCTTTTATCTTTTATTTCAAAAATAACGTACAGATAAGGCATTGTCACAATTGAACAAAGTAAGCGTAACTCGTCCATAGGTTCTCAATATCATGTAAATTTGGTTATTTTATTTTTAATTTTTAATCTTAGAACTAGTATATGTTTTATTATCTATAGAGTGAAATAAAATAGCACTCTATCACCTACATACTGGTATTAGTTATTATTAGTTATATATTTAAAGAAGAAGATGCCCAGTCATAAAATTATTGCCTTTAAGCTTTAACCAGGAAAAACAAAAAATGAGATACGTAAAATCACGAAGATAAAAACAAAAAGTAAACCACAAAGATCGCATTGATTCAAATTTTGTAAATATAATAAATTTTTCTCTGTTCTTGAACAAAAAAAAATAAGCACCCACATATATATATATATATATATATATATATATATATATATATATATATATATATATATATATATATATATATAAGCCTGGAACTGTGAGGAGTCTCAACTTCTTAAACCTAAACTTGCAAGAATGTCGTTTGCACAGGTTCAAGATGGTTCGTATTACTCTTTTTTGTGCCATAAATGCATGATTCGCATCTGTGCTGCTGCCCGAAAAAACTATTTCATATGGGAGTACTGAAAATACGTTTGCTTAATAAACTGTGTTAAAATGTTCCAAAGTAAGACATTTTGATGATCCTTACAAAGATTTGATCAAGGTTCACATTTTTACTCAGGCTATAGAGATGTGAAAATTGCTTATAATAGGTTGTTAATTTCTTTTGTGAATAATATAATTTTGAAGCCTGGTTTATAACTCAATGAATAAAGTCCTCTATTATTATCCTTTTTTGAAACTCATCGTGAAATAGGACAGCCATCTGCGGATTAACCCTCGTCTCGAACTGTTTGATCTAACCGCTTAATGGGAAACGGGATACTATATCTATCTATCTTGTCTTTAGTTATAATTCAGTGATATTGATAAATGTTAAGTGTAGCGGAGGAAATTTGGTTTTGAACCTTCCCAGCATGTGTTATTACTGCGTTTCACTTTAAAACCAATTCGCCAGGATCTTCTTAAGCGCCTCTTCCATCTTACTGGTTACGATAACATTAAAATTTTCGTCGAAACGAATCTGATGTTGCGGGTTTATCGCAGAAACGCTCGAAACTTAAGTGAATCCTAAAATTAGAACGGCAAATGGCAGAATGGAAAAAAAGGTAAATTATTTACTATTCGTTCCTACATGCGAAGCGAGAGTATCGTGAAACGAAGATAACAAAGCAACTTAAAGCCAGATTTTTAAAAACTTAGTGCTTTTTTTGCGGATTTAGGCAACATCGTCAATGGAGTAAATTATTTCGTGGAATTGGTTGGTTATATTAATATAATATAGGTAATGATGATTATTGTCTTTGTCTTGCTGATCTATATAAATGGGAGAATCGGATATCAGATTTCATTTACATATGTACTATTTGATGATTGAATCGAATTTTCTTTAGACATGACCAAGGTTTTTGAAGAACCTCTCAGAAAAGGGCATATAAATTCAAATGTATTATTTTAAAAATCATTTAGCAATGATATCCACTTTCTAAATACCAGAAATAAAAAAAATCTAAATCTAAACATAAAGCAGCTATGGTTAAAAAAAGTTTTAATGTTAATCTATGTATTTCTATTCCAAAAGCTCGCCTATTTGAAAAACAGACATTTCACAAGCACTTTAATTATCACTGGACCTTTTTTTTCTCTTGATAACCCTCCTTGATAACCACGTTTACTCTTATTAATAACTCGCACCCCCAGAGACGCCGTACGGTGCGTACAGAAGACCCGAATGAATCCATCCGCCATCGAGCACAGGAATTGGATCTGTGTCCATCCACTTTATGGAAGGATCTTGACTTACGTGCTTACAAAGTCCAACTCGTGCAAGAATCGAAGCCAAACGATCATCAAGTAAGGCGTAGATTCGTCGAATGGGCCCAAAACGAAATTGCCGTTGTTCCCGATTTTCATAAGCGAATTTTGTTTAGCGATAAAGCGCACTTCTGGATGAATGGCTACGTCAACAAACAAAAATGCCGCATTTGGAGCGAAGCTAATTCTCAAGTGTATGACGAAATACCATTACATCCAGAAAAACTGACTGTTTGGTGCGCTTTATGGGCTGGTGGAATCATTCGTCTGTACTTCTTCAAGAACGATGATAGCCAGAACGTTGCAGTCAATGGTGATCGGTATAAAGCTATCGTTACTAACTCTTTCATTTCAAGACGGCGCAACATGTAACACAGCTCGTGCCACAATCGATTTATTGAAAGACACGTTTGGTGGCCGCCTAATTTCACGTTTTGGACCTGTGAATTGGCCTCCAAGATATTGTGATTTAACACCGCTAGACTACTTTCTGTGGGGCTATGTAAAGTCATTGGTATCTGCGGATAAGCCACAAATCGTTGACCATTTGGCAGACAACATTTACCGTGTTATTGCCGATATACGGCTACAAATGTTGGAAAAAGTCATCGAAAATTGGACGTGCAGATTGGACTACATCCGCGTCAGCCGTGGCGGTCATATACCAGAAATCATATTTAAAATGTAATGCCACAAGATTATCTTTCGGATAAATAAAATTCATGTCAATTGAGACAATTTAAAGTTCTATACATCGAAAAAAAACACCCCTTATATAAGTTGTTTCATATTTTGCGTTGCCTCAGACGTTTATATTTTATGATTAATTTTGAGTAATACCTTCCTATACCTAGCTTTAGTGGTTTTGGAGGAATTAATTATTTCCTTTATTTTTCGACCAAAACATTAATTTTTTATTACTACAACACTGGAGCAAGAAGCAAGTTTGGAGGTAGCTTAGCTTAGTAGCTTACAGGACTGCTCAAAGCCTACGGGATACAAAAAAGGTGAAAATTCTATTTTTTTTTTTAAATCGAACACCCTATGTTTTATCAGATATTTCAAGAGCAAATTAACTTCCCTTTGGAATGATGTGTCATTTGTTTCTGAAGTTTCTCTGAAAACTGGGTTCCTTTGGCGTAATTCATGTTTCAGGTGAACATGAAACATCCGTCTTATGTTAACCAATTCATTTTCATGAATATGTGAAAATTTGAATTTTTACCAAAAACATTTTAAAAACTATTTAAAATGACAAAATGTTAGGCAATTAAAATTAAAATTGCACATATATAAATGAGTCCAATTCTTCCATTAGGTATCCGAAATGTTGACTAGTGCATTCTAAACACTTTAAAATCACTTGACAGTAGCCTCCTTTATGTCCGATAGTCTACTTGTTCAAAGCATCATCCAATCTGATGACCTAACTCTTCCTTGCTCTGCATTGGTATCAACTGGTTGAGTGACTGTAACGCACTCTAATGACATGAAATCCGGCGATTTTGCTGTCCAATCCCAAGGCCCCAAACGTCGAAACCAATGACCATTAAATAATTCCAGTAATTCTTGTGACCTCCTTTGAGTGCAGCCGGTGCCATATCTAGTTGGTAGATGCCCGAAGTTTCTGAAGGCTAAGAATCTCGAGAAAATCATTTACCCTTAATATTTGAAGGCATTTTGCAGCATTCAATGATTTATCGTAAATTAAAAAACTTACTTTATTATCTTTTAACAATAAAAACATTTTTAAACTAAATTTCTTTTGTGGCATAAGGTTTGTCGCCAGACGAAAAGTGTTGATTGAAAATAACCTCTTCAAAAAATTTTGCTTCGTCGGCCAATTAAAAGACGAATTATGCCAAAGTAATCCAGTTTTCCAACAAACTTGGTATTAATACCGAAACCAAACGAATTAAGGAAAAAAATATATTTCGGTTGACGGGTTTATAAGAAACTTTTCTGCCATCTGCAATTTTTTCATTAGAAAAATTATTTAGTCCGGTGCTGCCAAACAGTGTATTTATCAATGATCCTGTAAACAATAACATTTTGCAAATAATCCAATAATAAATATTTCTCAATACTTTCTTCAATTTTTTCTATTTAAGCAATGTAA